GAGGAAATTTACTGGCCACAACTTAAGGAGCCATTGCCTGCACCTACAGAAGTGCGCAAACGAGCTGCACTGATCTGCATAGAAGAGTTGCAGCCTACAACTTCAATCATTGACACTGTCATCGAACGCTCATCGTCATACATCCGAATACTAAGAATCATGTCTTATGTATTTCGCGTATTCAACAGAGTTTCCGCTAATCGCCACTTAAGGGTTAAATATATCTCGCAAATACAATCCTCAGAATTATGTGTAACGTTCTGGCGCATTGTAGCGCACATACAACAGTCAGCCTATCGTGATGAGATTCTTCTATTAGCGAAAAATAAACAATTAAAGCCAAGCTTGCAAAGCCTTGCCCCATTTGTAAGTACAATGCAACTAGGAGAATTGTGTGTAGATGTTGTGAGAGTTGGCGGAAGGTTAGCTAAGGCCGAAATTCCCTATGATGCTAAGTTCCAAGCTATTTTGCCTCGAGACCATCGTTTCAGTCGCTTATACGTAGAGTATTTACATCGTCAAAATTTACATGCTGGGCCGAAAGTACTTGTTTCTCTCTTACGAGAAAAGGTATGGATCGTAAACGCCAGATTGTTAGCTCGACAGGTTGTACGAGCATGCACACACTGTTTCAAGTACAAACCTCGTCTCATGCAGCAAGTAATGGGAAATCTCCCTGCAGATCGCTTGCGAGCTTGTCGCCCCTTTATGATCACGGGCGTAGATTTCTGCGGACCGTTTATGACGTCGTATCGAATACGTGGAAGGGCGCCATACAAGTCCTACGCAGCAGTATTTGTTTGTTTCGCTTCGAAAGCGATTCATATCGAGTTGGTCAGCGAACTCTCAACTAACGCATTTCTATTTTGTATTCGAAGATTTATTTCACGCCGTGGACTGCCTGAACGCATTTACTGTGATAATGCGACAAATTTTGTTGGCGCTGCAGCAAAATTAGCTGATTTTAAGAAAGACGCTCTTAACTCAGAGGCAACCCACAGCATCAAGGAATTTACTTCCTGTAAAGGCTTTGAGTTTCGCTTCATACCGCCGCGGGCTCCACACTTCGGCGGCTTGTGGGAAGCAGCAGTAAAATCAGCAAAGTCTCTTTTGATAAAGAACGTCGCAGAGGCCAACCTCACTTTCGAAGAGCTGCAAACGCTGTTTACTGAAGTGGAGGCTATTTTGAATTCACGACCAATTGCCCCAGTGTCAGATGATCCAAATGATGGCGACGTACTCACACCAGGCCATCTCCTTATTGGTACATCACTGGTATCCGCACCAGAGCAGATCCTCTTCAATCAGGAGGACACTACCAATCTACGCTACTTAGACCGCTGGCAAAAGGTGACCTTTCTAAAGCAGCAATTCTGGGACAGATGGCATCGTGACTACATTCACACGCTGCAAAGGAAAACGAAATGGACCTGTGCGCAGCCAAACATTCAACAGGGACAACTGGTTCTTGTACATGAAGACAACGTACCCCCAACAGGGACAACTGGTTCTTGTACATGAAGACAACGTACCCCCGCAAACATGGAAGCTGGAGAGGACGGCAAGGTTCGAGTGGTTGACCTGAAAACCAGCAAAGGAGCCTTTCGTCGACCTATTCACAAGATCGCACCGTTACCGAATTCTCACTTTTGAAAGTAGATCCTTTCAAGGGGGGAGGATGTTGGAGGACAACACAATAATATAAGCGCTATTTGATATGTAAAGTAACATCACTCACTTTTGTTAAGTAGCCCATCTGGCAACTTTATTTACGTTTGTTTTTTACTTATGTTTTCACTCAACTCTTCTGCGAAAGAGAACAAATGCACTCATAGCGGCATAACGCATTATTAGCTATGCCCTTTTTTGTAACAAGGCACTCGCATTTCGGACTTGCATGGTATCAGTCATTTCGGCACGCACGACACATAACATACAAATATACACACATACACACAATCAACCTTGGCGAACCTTAAATTATTTGGGAAAGGTACAGCAGCGCCAAATCGGCTCAACAAAAAACATATCAAGTGGATCGAAGACCCCTCCGGAGCACGTCTGGAACATATAAAAAATAAAAAAAAGTAAGAAAATAAAAAAAAAATTTGATTGATTTTACCTCTCTCGGTATTCGAACTCACGTAAAGGGTTTATAATTGCACATTTACATAGCAATTACGTCTGTGTGAGTGTATGTATGTTTATGCGCATCTATTCGTGTCTGTATAAGCATTTTCGCAGTCAACCAAACAGCAACATCAACAACAGCCGCGGGCAGCGCTTGAGCAGCGCTGCAGCAGCAAATATATTTATGGCTATAACTTCTTGTTAAATCGGTCTATCATAGTGAAACTTGGCATACGGACACATAATAACTAACTGGGGGTATTTGCAAAATTTTAGTTCGAAATTCCAAGAATTACGGGAGTTACGATTTGCGGGGTAGAGGGGGGAGGGAGGGAAATTCCAAAATATACATTTTCTGCGTATTCACATAAGGCATCTGGGACTAAAATTTGGTGTTCCTAGGTCTTATAGTCTCCGAGATATAGGCGATTATACGAATGGAAAATCGGAAAAACCCCCATAGGGGGGAAGTGGGGGGGAAAATCAAAAAAATAAAACAAACTCGTATAGAATACACACATAACGAATCTTTGTGCAAAATTTGGTGTCTCTATCTCTTATGGTCTCTGAGATCCATGTGTTCATACGGACGGACAGACGGACAGACAGGGCTAGATCGACTCGTCTTGTCACGCTGATCAAGAATATATATATACTTTGTGGGGTCTGCCACGCCTCCTTCTGCCTGTTACATTTTTCAGCTCCCGCAAACCTAATATACTCTTGTACATTTCATGTACAGAATATAAAAACTCACGATAGGGGTCACATTATATTCGAGTATTCGGTATTGATACTGACAATAGTCATTACTTTCTAAACAGCGTTTTAAAATATTTTTAGCTATTGCAACGCCCTTTTCTGCCAAACCATTGCTTTGTGGATACCTTGGGCTAGAGAATTGCAGAACCATATTACATTCATTCACAAATTTTCCAAAAACACCTGCATTAAATGGATTATTAACACACTTTAGTTTGGTTGGATACCCATAATTGTTAAAAATATTTCGCAGATCCCTAGTAATATATTCTGCCGATTTGTTCTTCAATTCTCTTACAATCAAGAAATTGGAATATGCATCAAACATTGCAAGATGATCCTTCCCTGCATATTCAAATATGTCCATGCCTGCTATATGAAATGGGTATTCTGGTAGTTCGTCTTCAACTAAAGGTTCTTTCTGATTGTTCCGTCTAAACTTTTCACAAATTTCGCAAGAACTGACCATGTCCCTAATTTGTTTATTCATATTTGGTCAATAGTAAGAACTTCGTGCTCGAGCTAAGGTTTTTTCTATTCCAAGATGTGGTTCATGTAACTGTTTTACTACTTGATGTTGTAAACTAGTAGGTATTATTAATTTGCAGTTACGAAACAGAAGACCTCCTTCAAAATGCATTTCTGATTTATGTTTATAAAATTCTTGACAGAGTTTGTCCATCCTTTGAAAGGAAGGCCACGCATTCTCAACGTATTCACAAATTTGTTTATAGCCATCATCTTTTTCGAGATCTGAGCGATAGCAAGTGTAACATTCTTCAGATATGCAGGCTGCACGAGTAATAATGTGTACAGCGTTAGCTAATTCTAGGATTTCCTCTTCATCTCTTAGCTGTGCTCGCGATAAACAGTCGGCCACTAGCATTTCTTTACCGGGCTTATATTGAACTGTCATTTTAGGGTATTTTAATAAATATAACAGCATTTTTTGTAATCGAACAGTGACTGCATCAATGTCTCGTTTCACCAATACTTCTAGAGGCTTATGATCACTTTCTACGTTAAATTCCCTGCCATAAACATAATAGTGAAACCTTTCACAGGCAAAAACAATTGCTAACAGTTCTTTCTCAATTTGTGCCCATTTTTGTTCGCTTTTAGATAATGTACGTGAGGCATAACTAATTGGATGTTCTTCTTGAAGAAGTACACATCCTAGACCGTCTTTTGAGGCATCAGTCTGAATAGTAACTGACTTAGAGCTGTCATATACTCGCAATACTGGGTCGTTTGTAATTACTTTAATAAGATCATTAAGCTCTTTCTGACGCTCTTTATTCCATTCGAATGGTACCTTTTATTGCATTGTTTAATAGCTTGGGATCTAAACATATCCGTAACTTTCCATTTCGTTTTTCTACTACTTGCAAATTATTTACCTAACTAGTTGGATATGTTACTGGTGAAATAATTTCAGCTTGAACCATAGCGGACAACTCCTGTTCTAACGCTCCCAGCAGACTTTGGGGAAATCGTTTTTTATAATGTAAAACTGGTTTTGCATCTTCTTTCAAAACAATGGATTGTTTAGATGGCAGCTTACCAAGGCCTTCAAACTAGTATTTAAATTTCTCTATAAATTGATCTTTTGTTGAGGGCAAATTAAAAATTGAATCAATATTTAAATACTTAATTAATTTTAATTTTACTGCTGCTCTAAGTTCAATTATTGGTTCACATTTATCATCCACAACTAAAAATTCTGTTCGAGCAATTTCCTTTGTATTAAGATCCACACAATCCAATTCAACTGTACCAAAATTATTAACTTTAGCATGATTATAATCATAAATTAGGAACTTTTCATTTTTCATTTGTAGCTTAAGAGCTTTAACTAAACTTATAGGGATGCAGTTCACAAATGTTACAACTTTTCCATTAATTTCATATGACTTCATCCATTTTGCTTTGTCTGATCCACATTCACTTATACTAAAATACAATTGTTTAGTACTTATACTTTTTCTATTTTGCTTCTCTTGTTTTTTATCTGATTCCACCAACTGAATGCTATTTGATGTTCTCCGTTCTGTTGTCTCTTTTGCGCCGTCCTTCAACACCTTTGGCTGCTTACAGAATTTTGCGAAATGTCTCAGTTTTCGGCACGCGTAGCACTTGATCTCCTTTGCTCGACACTCCTTGTAATGCTTAAGTCCAAATACCGCTCCACAATTGTAACACCGTCGTGCAACTGCATTTACTGCTCTCTATTCAGCTACTGTTTCTTTGCCTCCACAAATACTTTGGCAATAATTCACGCTTTCTTGCAACAACACGGTATGTTTTGTTGCCGCTTCATAACTTTTGCATTCATTGATTATATCCTCCAGCGTTTTATTATTCGATTCCAATAACTTTAGTTGCAGCTTTTTATCACGCACTCCAATGATCAGACGATCAAACAACATGCGTTTTTCAAATGATTTGCCGCATTCGCATTTGAATTCACACAGTTGGGCCTGCTTTCGAAGCGTTTCAAAATCAATGAACGACTGACACTCTGCTTGTGCTATAATGTTGAATTTGTACGACTCCATGGTTAAATTTTTCACATCAAATGCTTTTAGCACATCTTCTAAAGTACGGCCTACAACAATTGCGTTGCTTGATGAAGGCTCAGTACTCAGCGGGCATGACCCCACCATTCCACTGATAGATCCATCGTTCGGAAAAGTGTGTTGTATATTTCCGTAACTTTTGGTCCAGCAAGCCATAAGAATATAGCTATTTTCTTCGACTCCGGCTCCTTATCTTTTCCCGTTGCTAACATGTACATAAGAAATGTACTTTTCCATTTTGGCCATTCATATGCCAACAAGGAGCAGTCGATTTCATTCAAGGCACATTCCAGTGAGTTCATTACTCTCCACCCTTTAATATTTTCACTTCTGACACCATGGAACAAGTAGGATTACTTGTTATATTTATTTTAATGTGCGTCTTGCTCCATGCACACTACGATAAAATATACAGAGTTATCTTAAAACTATCGTTCATCGTTATTATTATTACCTCGATTGTCATTATTATTACAGTTGCTGGGTCCGTACGAGGTAACGACGGCTAAGAGAAACGGCCGTTATGAAGTCAAGAAAGCAGCAAACGTCGAAGGGCCAAATGTTACGGCTACAAGCGATGACAATATGAAGTTATGGAGGTATGTGGCTGAAAACGAGGATCTGTTGTCATTTGGGACAGATGACGAGAATCAGGAGGGCCGAATGTAAGCAGGCAAGTTACAGGCGATCAGGCGACACACCAAAAGCGACAAAGCTACAAAGCGGAGGGACAACAGACACAAGAGAAGAGCAAGTCGTTAGAAGCAGTCGAGAGAGAACAGTCGTTGCAGAGAGTCGTCGTGAATGGTCGTCAGTCGAAGAAGTTGTCAACGCCAACCGTCGTGAACATATTAATCATATTGAATTGAACTGAATTAATTGAACTATTGTTATAATTTGTATCATTTTTAAAATATATTGTACTTAACGTAACTTTACATACATATATTGCTGAAATGCGTTTTTGAGTATTTGTTGCTGCTCCAACTTCTGTGTGCTCAAGCCCGAGTTTTGCTGCAATATACGTGATTTTCTTCGATTTCGGGAAAAACTATGTTAAGCTCGACTAAATCAGCACATCACAAAAACATAAAACAAAGGACAGATCACATACTCAGAACACAATTAAATACAGTTATATTAAACATACTTCAAATATTATTTTTCTTGCTTTACTTTAATTGTTTATATTTGATTTCCTATTTTTGTAAGGTTATGAAGTCAGATAAAATTTATGCAGAAGCAACACCATATGTTCTCTAAAATAAACAGCCGTCTTTCAGGGCCTTGCAAAACTTTAGGGCTGCAGGAATTATAATTTTGGTTTCTATGAAATCAAATCATTACTCTTTTTATACCCTGTACCCGTAAAAAAGGTTTTTAGGTTTGTGTAAAGTATGTAACATGCAGAAGGAAGCATCTCCGACCCCATAAAGTATATATATTCTGAATCAGCATGGCGGGAGAAATCGATCTAGACATGTCCGTCCGTCGGTACGTCCGTCCGTCTGTCTGGATGAATGCAAGGATCCCAGAAACCACAAAAGCTGGAACAACCGAAGTTGGTATCCAGATTCTCCTAGGTTTATTTTTTTTTTTTTGTATTTACCCTTATGCCAAAAAATATCGGCTTTTGGAATTCTGTGCATTTGTTAATTTAATTAATTTCAATTCCCCTTTTATTTTAGGGTGGATTAGTGAGCAAAACTGGGATAACATAACTGAGCTGGATAAAGTTCCTGGATTTCACGGTATCATTGACTCCTTCGAACAAAATTTTAAATCCTGGAATGGTAATGTTCATAGTTTTAATTGTTTCATTTGTTATATTTTAATATTTCAGCTTGGTATGCAACTACATTTCCAGAACAGGAGGATCTTATTGGGGAATGGAATGACAAGCTAACAGACTTTCAGAAAATATGCGTCGTCCGTTCTCTACGGCCTGATCGTATATCATTCTGTATGACACAATTTATAATAAGCAAGTTGGGTCCAAGATATGTTGAGCCCCCGGTACTCGATCTTAAGGCAACATTTGAGGAGTCTATTTCGCAAACGCCTTTAATATTTGTCCTTTCTCCCGGTGTAGATCCGGCGCAATCTCTTATTTCTCTTTCAGAAACGGTTAAAATGTCACAGCGTATGTTTTCTCTTAGCTTGGGTCAGGGACAGGCTCCTGTAGCAACTAAGCTAATTATGGACGGCATACGTGATGGAAACTGGGTGTTTTTAGCCAATTGCCATTTGTCATTAAGTTGGATGCCCACGCTTGATAAAATGATAACCACCATGCAGTCAATGAAGCTGCATAAAAAATTTCGACTTTGGCTGAGTTCCAGTCCTCATCCAGAGTTCCCTATTTCTATTCTACAAACGAGCATTAAAATGACAACTGAACCGCCACGAGGAATTAAAGCTAATATGAAGAGATTATATAATAACGTCAATGAAGTTAACATGGATATATGTAACGATGCCATTAAATACAAAAAATTACTTTTTGCTCTGTGCTTTTTCCACACAATTCTTTTGGAGCGCAAGAAATTTCTTCAATTGGGATGGAATGTTATATATAGTTTCAATGACTCTGATTTTGAAGTTTCTGAAATTCTCTTGTTATTATATTTAAATGAATATGATGAAACCCCATGGGGTGCATTAAAATATTTGATAGCTGGTGTGAACTATGGTGGACATGTGACTGATGATTGGGATCGTCGGTTGCTTACCACATACATTAACCAGTTCTATTGTGATCAAGCATTGCACACTCGAAAATTTCGGTAAGTAAACAACATATAAAAAAATTGTCATTATTAAGTTATTTGTCTTTCATCAAGTGTATAAGTATTGGCCTCGTCATTTTAAAACAAAACAAGATAGAACGCTACAGTCAAGCAAGCCCGACAGTAAAATAGCCTGTACTCTCCACAAAAAAGAAAAAATAAAAAAAAAAATTAAAAAAAAAAGTTAATTATTAAAAAAAATGAATGAATTAATTAATTAATTTAATTAAATTAGAATACATGTTTATGTTCAGTTTTAACAGCATACATTTACTGTTGCTTGTTTATATGCGTGTATATGCAGTGTTCGATATGCAGCACAAAGTTGAACCAAAGCAGCAACAACAACAACAGCTGCGGGCAGCGCTGCCGACTTATGGCTATAACTTATGGCTATAACTTTCTTCAGAATTGACCTATCATGATGAACATGACACATTAGTACTAACTGGATGTACCTACCAAAATTGTTTTCAAAATTCCGAGAATTACGGAATTTATTAGAAAAAACACGAATTGCGGGGGAGTGGGGGGGGTGCATCGGAAAAAACTCAAACTCGTACTTTCTCAGTCCTCGGAGAATATGGAAACCAAGTTTGGTTATTCTAGCTCTTATACTTTCTGAGATCTTTGCGTTCATACGGACAGACGGACGGACAAGGCTATATCGACTTGTCTTCTCATCCTGATCAAGAATATATACACTTTGTGGGGTCTGCCACGCCTCCTTCTGTGTGTTACATACATGCGCACAAAACTGTACAGGCTATAAAAATCGATTTTATCTTTCTCGGTATTCGAACTCACGTAAATGTGTAAACATGTTAGCAGTCAACCAAACAGCAACATCAACAACAGCCGCGGACAGCGCTTGAGCAGCGCTGCAGCAGCAAATATCAGATATATATCAGATTTTAAGAAAGACACAACTAAATTCATTTTTATTGTTTCAATAAAAGTTAATCCTAATCCAAATGAATTCAACAAATTTCTGCCCAGGAGGACTTCGGTTGCTATGTAATTATCTGGGGTGATATAAAGAATTGTAACGACGCTGGCTTGAATATCGTAATTTTAATTACATTACCTTTGTCAAGCTGTGCTTTGGCTACTTACACTGCTTGTATAGTTACGATTTAAATTAGCGATTGGTTTTAGCGCCAACTGCCTGAAATCAAATTTTGTTGCCTTAGTTGATGAAAACCACACATTTTCCGTAGTTGTTTTGTTTGTAAAAAAAAAGAAAGTTATTTTTTCCATCCGCACGGCTATCGGCCACCTATTGGTTGTCTTATTTCACAGTGGCAATATTTGCTAGTTGTCAGTGGCCCTTGCTTAATCTTTGATCTCTGCAAAGAAAAGTTTTCTTGTGCAGCCTCGTCATCCGGATGCTTTATTTTCACTTCGAGATCGCATGGAAGCAAGGCGTGCACAATCTACTCTAGCTGAACGATTAAAATTGTAGTTACCTATAACCTATAAGCCTTTGTTATTCGGCTTAAGCATTTTATTATTTCAGCGCTTATTTTCTGCTGAACTTAACTTGGCAGAGTATAAATTGGCATAACAACGGATTTTCGGCAAGGTGCCACTTCTGACTATCGGGTAAATAACATGTTTCATTTTCGCATTTATATCGCTTTTATATCGTCATTTCGATTTGTCTTCGCTCGTGCAAAAATGGCACAAAATAAAGCGCATGCTGATGCCTTAACTAGGCTTAAGGAAGCGTATAAGAGTTCATTTCGGCGTTTCGCACATGCTCCCGTAAGACGGGAAGATCTCCATCAGCAGTGTCGTAGTTCATCTCAAATACGACGGTCGCTTGGAGTGTTCCCGTGTTATGGGCCATTGCAAAAGCCACGTTGTTTTGTGAGAAGTGCATAAGTTGCAATAAAAGGCATATGTAAAAGCGAATGGATGCTTTTCTGTGTTATATTTTTTGTGTGTTTTTGTTTTTATCAAGTGAGCAAAGTAACAAGGTCTGGTGTAAGTGCAAAAGAGAAAAGTTATTTCAAATAACGAACAAATTATTAATAGTTATGAACGCAACAAAAACTGAGTGAATAACGCAAGAAGTTGTTGTTGTTTGTTGAGTTAGCCCCTAGTAATAAACTAGTAGCTGCGTATTTTACAATCGGTACTTGAACCAAGTGTAATTCGGAGGAGCTGAAATGGAATGTGAGATTAGAGTGTTCTTGTGTTTCTGTCTATTTATTGATTGAAATGCAAGGTTTTATATACAAACTTGAGAATGTCTTATTATTAGGTCTAATTATTTCTAATCCAAGTGTCTAAAAATATATCGTCGCTGGGGTATTGTATGCAGCTAGCTGAGTCGGTGCGTGCATATCGAGCGTAGGTGTAGGTAGATGTGGCAGCCGGTTGGTGGTTGTTTTGTGCACATGCGCGGCCGCTATTCTAACAATAGCTAAGAATTACTGCCTGAGTTATTTTGGGTATGAGGACCTCCTTCTGTGTCTTCCAGTGGATCCTGAACTGATTTATTCTGTTTGAAGTTCACTTGAGATTCCTTTGCAATGATTAACACTGACTGAGTTTTGATGTAAGTTTATTCGCACAACACGTCTTGTATATTTTAAGTCTAGAATACAACTGCTTCACATAATTCACTTGAGCCGGTGGTTAGATGGTCAGCTTCCTCCTTTTAAGACATGTTCGATAAGTCAGGGCGAGTACCAGAGCGCCGATAAGAATGTAAGTCAAAATGTAATGACTGAGTGATACTTCTTTAATCTGCCGTACTTCGTATTGATTCTTCATCAAACTCAACTGTATCATATCCAATGTTAGGTCTTCTGGTACCATATCGATCGTGATGTTTTCGATGTGAGGTAATTGCATTTTGATGTCTTCCTCGTAGAATATTTCGGTGTCTTCATAGGTAATATTATCAATACTAACAGAACAGTTTTTGTAGTTGATAATTGTGGTACCTTCCGTGCTGAATGGGTCTGCACAGCTAGGAGTGATGTTGGTGAAATTCTCGTTGATTAAGATAATCCACTGCTGCTCTGGTTCGATGATGGCCTGTGTTTTGTCGAAGACTGTAGCCCCACACTTAGGGTCCTTTCCTTTCAAGATGTCGGAGAGACATTCCCTGTTGACAAACTCGTCCTCGGCCTCCAGGATTCCGCATATGTATAGGTTGTTAATTCTAGGGCATTTCTTTTTAAAACTGAACATATTATTTATTTCCTTATCGTACATTATGAATCTTAGGAATTTTGTGCCATTAATTGGTAGTCTTACAATTCGAGAAAAATTATAATTGGTTGTTTCGAAGATAGGGATTTTAATATGAAATATGATTTTCATATCTTTAGTTTCTGTCTATAAAGTTGCTCTTCAGAATTAATATTAATCTTTTGTTCTTCTAATATCTTGTAAATATATTTTAGTTCAATTTTAGGCAATACGAACTTGCACACGAACAGCACCGACTCCAGCGTCACCGCTCGCAAGCGCGCAGGCGGTGGCAGGACCACAGGCGCCAACATCAGCCGAACGAGACAGACGAGCCGCACTGTCGACACAGGTAGCCCAGTGGGGCGTCCGATTTACCGGCAGCGGGGACCCAAGAACGTTCCTCCGGGATCTGGAAGATAAGGCAGAGATGAGGAACGTGCGATTAGATGAGTTGGTGACCGTGTTACCGGAAGTCCTGGTTGGCGAGGCGAAGGAGTGGGAGTGGTCAAGGCGCAATTTGGCACAACGGTGGGCCGAGTTCCGCCAAGACCTCCTAAAAGAATATCCAGCGGGTCCCCACATAGAAGAGCGCCGGCGGGAAGCATACAGCCGGGTCCAGGGCGCATCAGAGGGCCCTATCGAGTATGTCCGAGCGATGCAACGACTGATGCGCGGCGCGGAGATGACTGCAGAGGAGCAGCTGAGACTTGTCCACGCCAACGGGCTACCAGAAATACGCGCCAATCTCCGCCTGGCAGGCGAAGAAGTAAGCTCACTCGATGGGTACGTACAGGCGGCACAGGGCGTGCACCAAGCAATCCTAGCACGGTCACAGGCGGCCGGCAATGATGAGACGAACGCCACACACCCTACGCCGTTCCCACAGCCGGTGGCGGTTGGCCCAGCGGACACGCATCGTCGCCCACCCATCTGCAGACGTTGCGGGATGGGAGGGCACAGTATGGACGCGTGCCCAAACTCTCAACAGCTATACAGCTATAATCCAGAGGATGACGACACGTCAGCACCACGCGGCGGAAATGCAGAAAACAACAATGCGACCGAATGACAGAGCGAAGAGCTGACGGTGAAGGTACAGGTGGCGTTGACAGGTGGCCAAACGCGAGGGGTGGCAGCGCTGCCACCCAGCTGCTACACATCTGCCGTTCGACCCCTTGGGGAAAGGGGGAGGTGTAACGACGCGTTGCGCAGCAACCAGCTGTGCGTCATTACGAGTAATTTTAAGCTAATAAGTAATTGTAAGAATAGTAAGCCATGAAGGCGGGTAATTTTAAGTCGGGTTTTAGTTAGTTCTCTTCTGGCTCAGGCCCAACGCGCATTGAAGCACTCTGTATGTTGTTTTACAATTAAAGAAACACGTGGAGAAGTTTGGGCATACCGCCCTCTTTTATTTGGTGGACACCTCGGCACTTTGGGGTGCCTAATTTATTTCAGCATACTCTGGCCGGCGAGCATACCCGCGGCAGAGTAACAACGTTACAATATAACTCTTTACTTCATTCTGCTCTCAGTAATGTTCTGAAATTTAATAATATTTTCTTTATTGACATTTGTACTATAGTTTAAAAATTCCTCGTTTTCTATTATTTTCTGAAATTTGTGGTCGATCTTTAACGCATCTTTGGCGTCCATGTTTCCTGTTACAATCTTAATTACACTACCTAGACCGTTAATTAATCCCCGTCTACTTCTCGATTTAGGGGCTAAGGCTAAGATTCTATCTCTTAACTGTTCGACTTTCTGCTGTAAACTTTCCACTAGATTCT